AATTCATTTTCTAAACTTAGAAATGTTAATTTCATGCTTGAAATTCCTATACCTCAATATTCTAAAGAAGAATTTGAATATTCTTCTAATCCAGAATCTCCTATAGAATCTGATATGTTACCTCCTTCAAGTGAAAAATTTTCAAAACAACTTAATGTTATTTCTTCTATTATTGATAGAAGAACTGAATTAAAAAATGATCAAACTCCTGCTGTAAAAGCTTTTAGAAGAAATCTTAGTCAAATGTTTTCAAAAGAAGATCTTGAAATTTACTAGGAAGAATTTTTTAATTTTCTAGAAGATTTAAGTTTTTATGAATGGGTTAATCTTAAAGTTTTTGGAAAAAGAATTTTTAAAACTTCTAAAACTCATTCAATTCACACAAATCGTTCAAAGAGAAATTTCGAGTTAAAGTGAGAACACCCTAAAAAGAGAAAAAACAAGAAAGTGCCAACATAGATTGGTATAACAAAGTTTTGGAAGACATGGCTTCTTCCGCTTCAGTTACTTCTTCAAAGAACAAGAAAAACAAAAACAAAATTCCTTTACCAGCTCGTTCAATTACTGAGTATATTCAAAATTCCAACAAAAATACCCTAGATTCAAAATATTCTTCCTCAAATACTCAGAATCTTTCTTCAAATAGATTTCTATTTTTGAACAAAATCCTCAAACTCCAGGAAAACCCTCAAATTACAAAAAAACTGTTCAAGTTGGTTTTGGAAAACTTCCAGAAATCATTCCTAAACCTTTTCAATATGTTACAAAAAACTATTTGAAATCCCTTATCACAATGGAACCATTTTGGATTGAAAAATATTCAGATTTAAATGAATGTCTTTCTGATATTTTTCCTCCTTCATTTCAATATCTTACATAAACTCTTCAAAAACCTCGTGAGTTTTATGAAAAGATTCTTCAAAAAACCGGATCTGCTATCATAACTCACACTCTAAATAAACAGAATCCTCAACATATTGATTTCTCAAAAATTTCAATTTGCAAAGTGTTGACATCTAATGACTGGAGTCAACCTTCTTGGAATGAAAAGAA